ATGTGGCCCGGCCTTTGCTTATGAACTCAGTGGCAACCTCTTCCTGTTAAAGTTCATTGGCTTGAGAGGAAGGAAAGAGCGGGGCCACGTCCCTCCCACAGGAACATGATCTCAACCCACCAGTGCATGGAGCCACCTTAGAACTTGGATGGTTCTCTGCCATCCAAGTTCTCCCAGGATGCAGGGGCAGAGTCCGGACCCGTTTCGGAAGCCTAGTTCTTCGGGGCTCGTCTTCTGTGATACCTGTTCAGTCGGGAGCAGGGCAGCACGCTGAAGCCTTGTCTTGTTGGCAGGGGTCTGCACCCGGGAGCCCCCGTTCTATATAATCACTGAGTTCATGACCTATGGGAACCTGCTGGATTACCTGAGGGAGTGCAACCGGCAAGAGGTGAGCGCCGTGGTGCTGCTGTACATGGCCACGCAGATCTCATCGGCCATGGAGTACCTGGAGAAAAAGAACTTCATCCACAGGTAGGAGCCCGGCCAAGCTGCCCCGCCACGGGCCTGCAGGGTGCGCGCGGGGCACGGGCGTCCTTCGACAGAAAGCCCCAGCCCGCGAGGTCTCCTGGCTCAGCCTCTCACCTCAGTGCTGGCGGCTCATCGTATTGGATCTTTCACTTCGGAACCATTTTGAGCTAAGAGGAGTATTGAATGAGGTTTATAAGAGGCGCCCCTTCTAATCATCACGGCTCCCTCTGGAGTAGAGCGCTCATTGCTCCTCCAGGGCCGGGGTCATCAGTTACAACCTCTTCCTGGGAGCCGTTGGCATTGCTTTTACACAAGCGCCCAGTAACAGCCGTGCGTGGGCTTTGTTTCTGTGCTGCGTGTTTTTCCTTCTCTTCATTATTATCATTTCATTCTCCGCTTAACTTGCTGTCATCTGGTTCAGGGATGTTTCCACTACTGTCAGAATTGTGTATACGTAGTTCTGAATTAAGCATCTTTGCTGCTTTAAAGCCTGGAGTGTTTTGACCTTCAAGCGTGCCACAGTTATCTTGGTCTTTGCGTTCTTTGCTGGTGGAAATGGCTTCCTAGCAAAGTGACGGCCTCTGCAGGACAGAGCCTGATGGGCTTGGTCGGAGTCTTTTACACAAGACGTTCTCCCCGCCACCATGGTGACCTTTCCTACCCAATTAACTCAAGTATGAAACCTGTACGTGAGACTTCATAGTGAGGAGTAAGAGTAGCATGTGTGAAGTGCTGGCGGTTCCTTGTAAGATGGATTTTCTCTGCTCCACGAGAGCCTGCTTCAGATGCTCCTGTCACTCAAGAAAGAGAACCCTCTGAGGCTGCAGACGACGAGATTTCTTGACTCCTGGTTTGCCTTGCACGGCTAGGTTCGTTCTCTCTTCATTCAAGCAAACTTCAAGTGCTTTACCAAAATCCTGTTAGGCACAACTCTCCTGTATTTCCTTCCCCTCTGATCGCTGATGATCAGGCTATCTTACACAGCCATCACCTTCAGCTGGTGCGTCTTCTCATCCCTCATTCCGGTTTGCCTTGCGATCTCATGGTTAATGTCCGTGAACCAAAGATTAGACTCCTACTTCCCAGGGAGAATCAGGAGGCAAGAGGAAGCTGATTACACAGGGGAGAATTTATAGGACACATTTGGATAAGCATCAGGAAGAAATAGGACAGTGGGAAATACATTTGGGTAAAGGATGTCGTGGGCCTTTTTTAAATTTTGTCCTATCAAGTCTGAATAGGACAAGCGAGGCTCAGTCTGATGTAAGTTTTTCGAGATCGAGGCCTGGCCTATGTGTTTGTGCCCCGTGCCTGGCACAGAGCAATAATAACTGAGCAGGCGCTTAGATGACACTGTTCTCCAATCATCAGTCGAAGTGCTTTACCTATTAATTCACTACCACTCACAACCACCCTAAGAAGTAAGCGCCGTCACTATCACCTTCATTTTATGGCTGGCATAACTGAATCCGAGGGTGATTAACTTGCTCCAGTTCATGGGGCCAGGGAGGCTGCTCCCTGTGCCACCCTCTGCGCGTGGGAGCGCAGTGGGTGCTGAGGGACGGGCGCTGCTCCCCAGGGGGCCCGGATTCCATTTTCCCATTGTCGGTGTTGCACCTTTATAGACAACGGTGGTGGACTTGTGAAGCTGGAAAGCTAGCCGGAAACTCTCACAGGTTAACTTTTTCCTTTCCCAGAGATCTTGCTGCCCGAAACTGCCTGGTAGGGGAAAACCACTTGGTGAAGGTGGCTGATTTCGGCCTGAGCAGGTTAATGACGGGGGACACCTACACAGCCCACGCCGGGGCCAAGTTCCCGATCAAGTGGACGGCACCCGAAAGCCTGGCCTACAACAAGTTCTCCATCAAGTCGGATGTCTGGGGTAAGGGCTGCTGCTCCGGTTTCGCCCTCGCCCGTGCAGGGTGGGGCTGTTTCCCTGTTTTTCTTTCTCTCCTTTGCTTTTTCACTTCCTCTTTCTTGCTCTTTCATTTCTTTTTCACTATTTAATTCTCTTCCTTACTTCTTTTTCACTTTAAAATCTTTTCTCGGGCTTCCCTGGTGGCGCAGTGGTTGAGAGTCCGCCTGCCGATGCAGGGGACGCGGG